CCAAGCCCGCGGCCGCCCCGCCCTGCTCCTGGGACCCCGGCCCCAGCGCTCAGCCTTTTGCTCCCGTTTAGAGCGCTCCCCTCCGGGCACAGATCTCTACCGAAGCCGCGGAGGCCAGTTCTGCCAAAACGGAGAGGCCGGAGCTGAGACGCACCTGCAAGCCCTGGCGCTGGAGCTGCGGTCCCAGCTGGCCATGGTACGGGCAGATGGCATTTTCAAGCGCCCAGAGGGAGCCCAGCCATAGCAGCCCTTGCTGCAAGACGCTCCCCGGGCACCTCCTGAAGGCGGCGTTAGAGGGGCCCGATGCGCACCAAGCAGTCTAAGCCCACTGTTTCCCAGCTTCCCCTAACGACCGATGCCAGCAAACGGTAAGGAAGCAACGATAGGACAGCAAGGACTTTGCTGCTCGGTGAAAGGAGGCCTCCAACGTTACACGAAATAATGGCGTTTTAAAAGCCATTTGCAGGCCCGGGGATTTAGCTCAGTGGTTCCCCCGCCTGCCTCGAAAGGGCCCGAGTTCGAGCCCCAGTACGAAAATAAACAAATAATAAATAAAAGCCATTTGCTGATTCGTCTTCATCGCCGCGTTTTGTTTGGTGTTTAATTTGCTTTGGCTGCCGGAAGGGCTCCCTGGGAGGGACGCTGGCTGACCCAGAAGCCGGCTACGCGGCGCAGCTGTCGGGAATTCAGATGCGGCTCGGCGGCCTGGAGGAGCAGATCTGCCAGATCCGGAGGGAGACCGAGGGCCGGAGCGGAGAGTCCGAGGCGCTGCTGGACACCAAGGCGTGCCTGGAGCGGGAGATCGATACCTACCACCGCCTGCTGGACAGAGCAGGGGCGTGAGTGGGGTCCGGGGCTCACAGGCGCACCCCGGGCAGCTATTTTTTGAAACCACAAAAGGACACCGGGGTTGGAGTTTCGCGTATAAAGTAAGAAAGTCCCGGGCAGGGGCCAGTCGAAAGCCACCGAAGACGCGTCACAGAGATCCCGCCGCAGAGGGTTCCTCCTCCCTTGGCGAACGTAATTTTTCTTTTCCCCAGTGGCTCTGGTTTTGAAAGATCCAGGGACTCGGTACCAGGTGGCTCAAGAGAAAGTCAAGGAAGAGGTAAGCGTTTTGGAGCGTTGATGATCAGATTTGTATTTTAAGGGTAGAGGCTGCCGGGCTGGTCTTATCCAGGCCCCCGCATCGTTTATGTAATCGTATCTGTGTGTCTGTGACCATTTCGGTCTGACCTTGTGGCCCCGGACCTTTCAGACCCTAACAAGAAGAGGGTGACCAAGACCATCCTAGAAGAGGTGGTGGACGGCAGAGTCGTCTCTTCTCATGTCAGCAGCATTTCCGAGGTGAAAATCGAGTAAGCAGAGAGCGTCGCTCCGGAGAAGAGATGAAGAGGTCAGGGGCGAAGCTTCAGCCCAGACGGAGGCACCCAGCCGAGGCCCCCGCGCGCTCCTCCTTTGCTAGTAAATGCTCCGAACACTTGACAACTTTTGCTTTTCTGAGCTTCAGTAAACTCACTCTGGCGGGCTCACAAATTCCTTCTTGGTTTTTTTTTAAGTACCATTGATTATTATCTTCAACCCCAAGCTGGCCTCTGCTGAGTGACCCCTGCCCTGCAGCACCTACGTACGAGTTAGTTCATAACCAAATTTTTAAGACTATTAATGTTTTACCAAGGAATGCAGCTGTCGGTTATGCGATAGCTGCATTATCACATTGCTAATATTCATTCCTTATTACATTTTCTCATCCTCAGAAACTAAAGAGTACAACGGTTTTATGTGGGTGTTTCAGACAACCTCACAGCGAAGGAATGAGCTCACAGATGAGCTTACATCTCGGTGTCCCTGACGGCGTAACAGACAGCCTGGCCTACAGAAAAGGATGAGATTATTTGCATAATCCACTTATAATTAATTTATGTCTCATTTCTTGAAATCCAGCCCCGAACAGCAACATATTTCATCAGATTTTTTAAAAGGGAACGTCAGCTACACCTCTCACTTTAAGAAGCTTACGTTGTAGATGGGAAGGAAAGATAAAATAAGGAAGACAGCAAGGAGTGAAAACAGGCTGACAGAAAAGGGCTTCGTTTCACAATATTAGTCACAAGTGTCCCAGGATCAGACAGGACGCGTTCTCAGAGCATTTAGGAGACAAGCCAAGTAGGGCACCTTGTGGCATAAGAATAGGTAGGAGAGGTGGTGCCAGATTTCCTAAGACCTCGGGAGCCCCAAAGAAAGGAGATGCTGGTGTTTATTCCTTGCCAGTCTAGCCACTTAGTGTCATCTGACCACATCAGTGTTTCTTTTCCCCGCTGCCCCTTCCTAGGTCTTTTACCCCACAGATGGTCACATCTGCAGAAGCCCCGATGCCACACAGCTCCATCTTGACCTGTTTGGAGCACAAAGTCCCTTAAGGTAGAAGAGTATGGGGTGGTACAGGTCCAGGAAGAAACAGAACCCTGGCCAAGCCAAGCTAGACAAAGACATTCACGCTCAAGGAATTCAATATGACCAGATCAAGAACCAGAGGAGCAGCCCCATGAGGCAGCCCGCTTGAAAAGAGCACAGACACAGCATAAAAGACCAAATCTAAAACTAGAAAAGGCTGAACCTGGGCTGGGTGTGATGGTGCACGCCTGTAATACCAGCACTCAGGAGCCTGAGGCAGGAGGATCACTGTGAGGTCAAGGCTAGACTAAGAGCTACACAGTGAGTTCAAGACCAGCCTGAACTACACAGTGAGAGCCTGTCTAAAAAACAAAATAAAAAAGATGAACCTAAGCTGTATTTGTGTAATCTGTACCTTCAAATATAAAAATAAGAGCCATATAAGAATTTCCAGTCTTATCTCTCCAAAGAATGTTTCCATCATTCATCACTGAATGAAGTTTACATATGAACCTCTACTTTATGGCAACTCAATAGCTAAGTTGCAGCCAAGCATAGAATCACTACTCAAAAGTATGCAACGCAATAACGAACGTAACTGTACTGTATACCTAAAATGTACCAATAAACTCAATAAAAGAAAAAAAAAGTGTGCAACACTGTCTCAAGTGGAGTATGTTTCTTGTCCAAACATTACAGTAAACGAAGGCCTCAATGTTTCTCTTCCACTAAAAAAAAAAAATTTAAGAAATATGAAATTAAGCATATAAAACAGTGGATTCGGCCTGGTTACTTTTCTCGAAATGGAAATGTTTGGTGCAGCCCCCAGCTCTCGGATCAACGCTCTTCTTGCTGCCTGGGGCCTGTGTTTTTGTCCGTAGCAACCCCGTGACACAGGTACGAGGCCACTCTGAAAAGAATCCGGAGGGGAGACCTCTCGCTGTTTCCCTTGGCCCGTGTGAGAATGCTGCCCCTGTAACCAGATGCAGAGCGCACCTGTCACCCCAGCACTTGGGGAGGTTGAGGAGGAAGGATCCCAAGTTCAAGTCCAGCCTGGGCAACTTTGCAATTTAGTGAGACCCTGTCTCAACATTAAAAAATAAAATAAGAATGCAGCGTTTGCACTAAGGGATTATTTACAAATACAGAAAAATCCAGCTCATAGATACCAAGAGACTGAAACCAATGCGTTGTTCAGAACAAGTTCAATTTTTAATACAGCAACTATGGAACTATTTAGGATCGTGGAGTTGTTTAGAGTCCTGAATAAAATATGAAGAATGGAGTATTTGTGTGTTATCTGTCCTAAAGCTGCTTTGGAACTATACAACAAAGATATTTCTTTTGAAACCCTGACGTCCAACTCTCTGGTCAGCCCCTGAATGAGAAGAGGCCTTTCTTTCTTCGGGTGACTCACCCTTGAGAGGAGAGCGAGGGGCCGGTGTGCAAAGGACAAGAAGGGCGGGGCATCTGTCTTCGAAGATTAGGAACAAGAAAGGTGTGTGGCAGGCAGCCCAGAGGAAAAAGCTCGAGGATCTGAGACTCCAAGGAAAGAGGTCCAAACTTGCCTGGTGACTTCACGGAATCAGACCGTGTTTACTGAAGCGGGGACAAAGGGAGAAACATAAATCACCCATAATGCAGCTCTAGTACTATTATCCAGGCAACTTCCAAAATACTGAAAGTAAAAAAAAAAATCATCATACTCTCAGTACTCAGGGGAGGAAGGCAGGAGAATCCCAAGTTCAAGCCCAACCTGGGCAACTTAGCAACTTCAGGAGTCCCTGTCTCCAAAGGGAATTTTTAAAGGCTGGGGATTTAGCTCAGTGTGAAGGTCCTGGGTTCAGTCCCCCGTACCACCAAAACAAAACAAAACAAAACAATGGCTCAGACATGACTCTGGATCACAGGAAATATGGGCCAAACCATTTTAAACACAATTCAGTCCTTCGTAGCATCAAGCTCAACATGAAAGGAAAGAGGAGAGCAGCCACCCTTACTGTAAGACTGGCACTTCGACGGCGCAGAAAGGCCAGCCCAGCGAACGTCACAGGAACTGTCCCCAGTATGGAGCCCAGGCTCCTGGACAGGGGAGGGAGGAAGGGTTTGCTTCTCAACTCACGGAACAAAACTGCAGTGGAGTCCACACTGTGCACCCCAGGCTTACAACACAGCAGAGCCGGGGCTCGAGTGTGTCCCCCACAGTCCTGCGGTCGGAGCTTGCCTTCAGGGGTGGTGTGGGGAGGTGGGGCCTTTGAGAGCTGGGCCACAGCAGAAAGTCCTTCGGGCCTTTGTGAGGGGCTCTCAGGCCTCAGTCTCCCTCCAGCTCCTGGTTTTGCAAGGCAGCTTCTCCTCCTGCACCCCCACACACCAGCACCACATGCCCTGGGGTGACTCAGACAAGGGTGACCCTGGAGACCCTCCTCACAGCTGACACCATACTCTTTGAACTTCTGGCAGCCACGACTTCGAGCTTGATAAACCTCTTTTGTCTATAAAGTTAGCCTGCTTTGGGTATCACGCTATAGTAACAAAACAAGACAAATCCCAGCAGGATACACATGATCTGGAGAGGAGCAAAAAATTTATAGATATAAAAGTCACAGCTAGCATAAGAAAAAGAAAAGACTGCCAAAAAGTATTGCAACACCCAAGCAGTGTGCACCTATAAAATATCATTAAAATGTACAGCGGCCTGTGAATACATTTCTCAGAAATTATTCGTAACTTTTAGGAAATTTTCTTTATTCTCCTCAACACAGACACCGGGACCACTCAGAGGTTGTAGAGAAGACTTTAAACTCAGCCCAGAAGTGCAGGTTGGCTGTGAGCTGGGATCAACAGGCTGATGCTTTCTTCTAACCGACCCATGCCCAAATCCGTCCAAAGTTCCAGGACCAGTTTTAAAGCTGTAACCACTGAAGATAACAGGGGTCATGTGGAATTATAATATGGAGTATTCCAAGAAGCTAAAAGGACAGGACCACTCCACCGGAGCAGCTGATACACCTCTGTCCCAGTTGTGGGGAGAGAAATTCTCTCGGCCATCAGCGCTCACTGTTCAACAGCTAAGACCTCTTAGGTTCCTTTTAAGCCAGGACATTTGTAGAGTTGCTCTTGTCTCTCTGGCTTCCAGCGACAAAGGGCAAGAAGGGTCCTGAGCCCAGTTACCTGGTTTGTGTAGCGATTTCTAAATCACCAAAAGCATGAGAACAGAACAGATGTGCATTGATAAGGAAATGACGGGGGGGGGGCGGGGATTTAACTCAGTGGTGCCACCGCCTGCCTCACAACCACAAGGTCCCAAGTTCGATTCCCCGTACCAAAAAAGAGCAAACGAGAAGTATAGCTGTCATGGTGTAAAACCATCACCGTTTATGTCTGCAATGAGGCTAACAGAGGTTCTATCAGTGCTGTCAAGCATCATAATCATTTTTTTTTTTTGGTAACAGGGATCAAACTCAGACCCTCACGCTTGAAGCCTCATAATCTTTGAGCAAAACAAAAGAGGAGATGAAGAAAAGTGAGGAGGAAAGAAAACGTACACTGAGGCATTTGCGAAGTGCGTGAACTTCGAGTCTCTATGGTCCGGCCCCTTTGACACATTTTGGTGGCAGTGCCGCTGCTCCGTTGTACGCAGGAAGCAAATGAAGCTTTGAGAGGTTGAATCCCTTTCCAGGCACACAGTGAGGGAGGGGGGAGTCTGAGAACGAAGCCCAGGTGTTGTGTGGCTTCTGCTCGCCCGACCTAGGTGAGGCTCTCTGGTCTCAGCCCAGCCTCACCAGCAGCCCTGCGTGAAACACACCCTCGGGAGCCCTGTTCGCTTCCCATTGCCCCCAAGCTTCTCATCTGAATAAACAGTAAGGCTTCCGAATTTCCTCAACCGTTTCCCACTGAGGCAGAAAGGAGAGAGCTGTGGAAGCCGGAGGCCAGAAGAGCTACGAGAAACCTGCTACCAAAGGCCTGGG